GAAAATAGATGCCCTTTATCCTTCTCAAACGTGTTTCTCCATAACAATGTGGAATGTCATGTTAGGTTAAAGGAAATAATATCATTGTACAAGTTGGGTTTTGGTACTGAACGCTTTCTTCAAATGGTGTTGTACATACCTTTACTCCAACTAGTGATTGCCCAGAGCTTCTAAGTGCTTCCAGATACCCTCTGTTTTTGGAATCATGATGCTCTTCTAGCACAGTCCAATGAATGACCTTCAATTGAATTATAACATTGGTTCAGATAGTTAGAGGACAACAGCAGGATGGTTAACTTGTTATATATTTTGCAGTGGATTTCTATGTATCTTGCATCACATCGCTCAACCATGAAATGGATATTGTCATGCATCTCAATCTTGTGAATGGTTTAGAGTGTTCAAAACATGAGATCTGAATTATGCCAAATGAATGATAGAGATCTACACTGAACTATATCTAGTTATCTAAAACCACAGGTGACATTGTGATATTCTGACTTTATTCGAGAGAGGCACACTCTCAAGTCCTTGGATATGATGCTGGGTTTTTTAAAATCATTTCAATAGAATTTTAATAATAAATTTAGTTGCCACAACAACAGAACAATTATAGAAGCTTAATACTGTACAGAAAGCCTTTGACTGTGTGGACCACAGCAAACTATGGGAAGTCCTTAAAGAAATGGGAGTGCCTGACCACCTTATCTATCTCCTGAGAAACCTATATGTGGGACAGGAAGCAACAGTTAGAACTGGATATGGAACAACTGATTGGTTCAAAATTGGGCAAGGTATAAGTGAAGGCTGTATATTGTCCCCCGACGTATTTAACTTATATACAGAATACATCATGTGAAAGGCCGGACTGGAGGAATTTGAAGCCGGAATTAAGACTGCAATAAGAAATATCAGCAACCTCAGATATGCCGATGATACCACTCTGATAGCAGAAAGTGAGGAGGAATTAAGAAACTCTTAAAGAGGGTGAAAGGAGAGTGCAAAAAATGGTCTGAAGCTCAACATAAGAAAACTAAGATCATGGCCACCGGTCCCATCATTTCCTGGCAAATAGAAGGGGAAGATATGGAGGCAGTGACAGATTTTACTTTCTTGGGCTCTATGATCACTGCAGATGGTGACAGCAGCCCCAAAATTAAAGGACACCTGCTTCTTGAGAGGAAAGTGATGACAAACCTCGACAGCATCTTAAAAAGCAGAGACATCACCTTGCTAACAAACGTCTGCATAGGCAAAGCTATGGTTTTTCCAGCAGTGATGAATGGAAGTGGGAGCTGGACCATAAAGAAGGCTGACCACTTAAGAACTGATGCTTTTGAATAGTGGTGCTGGAGGAGACTTTTGAGAGTCTCCTGGACTTCAAGGGGAACACACCTATCCATCTTGAAGGAAATCAACCCTAAGTGCTCACTGGAAGGACAGATGCTGAAACTGAGGCTCCAATACTTTGGCCATCTCATGAGAAGAGAAGACTCCTTGGAAAAGACCTTGATGTTAGGAAAGTGTGAAGGCAAGAGGAGAAGGGGACGACAGAGGACAAGATGGTTGGACAGTGTCATCGAAGCTACCAGCATGAATTTGACCAAACTCTGGGAGGCGGTGGAAGACAGGAGGGCCTGGCATGCTCTGGTCCATGGCGTCATGAAGAGTCGGATATGACTTAACGACTAAACAACAGCAACAAAAAATACAGATAGACAGGACAAGTTTATTTTAAGTAAAAATGCACAAGGCTGTTGTACTTTGGGCATATCATAAGAAGTTAAGACTCACTGAGTGTAAAGGAATGTTGAAGGCCATGGGAGAAGAGAACGACTGAACATGAGATATCCAGTATTTGCTCAAAAGCAAAAGTACAACCTTTAGTTTGCAATGCCTGAGCAGGACTGTTAAGAATAAGGCTCCATCTCTGAAGACACTCACCTTCTCAATCTCAGCTGCCTGTTCACCTCCAGATGCAAAGGCAAGCAGGCCCACAGCAGAGGTAGCATTCACAGGGGAGAACAAGATGTTCTCGTGTGGGTGTTCTTTGATTAGCCGGTGGTAAAGTTCAACAGCAAATTTAGCATTGTCTTCAGGAAAGGTGGTCATGGTGAAGTTCAGAAGCTCTAAGGGAAAAACAAAGTCATCCAGTGCTGTGTGATCTTCTCTGGTTCCTACTCTTAATCCTCAAATCATTGGGAAGAAACCTCATCAGATATACTCAGCTATAGGTCAGATGGAGGAGTCTAGGAAGAGGTGAAGAACAAGAAACAAGAGCTGCATTTATTTGAAAAACATTGCAAATGGGAACCGTGTGTGCACTTCTCATCCTGCTATCAACCTGCATAAAACCTCATGGGTAAGGCTTTATGGCAAGGCTGAGATTGTTGCATCTGATCATCACCATTACTAATGTATAGAGCCTTTCCTAAATTGCTCCCACCGAGGACTTCAAAACTCTGAATAAATGTTTAAGTAGGTCCCAAAGGTAACCCCTATCCTGCTCCAAGTCACAGACTCCTGTGTTGCAAGAGTCTGAAACCATCAAATCATGTGCTGAAAGACGCTATCCCTTGACAAAATTCCTACACAAAGCTGCTAGTGGACATCAAATGATCAACTCCAAAGGCTGAATTAACCTACAAAGTATACTCTGAGCTACAGATTAACACAATTTATTTATTAATGCAACCAAATTAATCCAGATGACTGACAATCTGCACAAACCTTTTCATACCATCTAGTTTAGTACAGAGTAGGTGAAGAGACCAGTCCCCATTATAAAGTGGAAATCATCTTATTTCAAAAGAAGATTAAGGCATGGTTTGAAAGGATGGTCTTTACCTGTGCTTCAGCAGCGGCGGTCAGAGACTTCTGCTTGAGTATGATACTCTTCTTGTATGAGTTCCTGCTATTTATGATCTTCATACACCCCCACAACTATTAATCAAGCCTGTATTTCTAAATCTGCAACAGTTTGATTAAATGTTATTTAAATAATGAAAACAGTGTAATACATATACTGGCCATTTGTAATAATCAGATATAATTATAATAGATTATTACTTCAGATACTGCAGACAGTATGTGGATTATGACACCAGGCGACGCATCCTTTCAGCTCTGAGCACGTTTGTTTACTGCTAGCACTACACTGCAAATAAGATATACCCATTGTAGCAATCCCCATTAAAGTAGAGATATGTCTACAGGGCTTCAGCAAAAGGATGTGGACTAAACTAGCATGCCCCTGTAAGGACAAAATGCTGAGAGCTGCTGATATATTTTCTCTACTCACTTGGCATCTCACTGCTGCTGAATACTCTACTGTCTAAAACAAGGGTGTCCAACCTTTCACCTTCCCTGGGTCACATTAGAAGATGAAAATTTGGTTTGGGCCGCACATAAATTTGGTTTGGGCCGCGGGGGGGGGGAGCCCTAGCCATCCACCGCAGCCCCGCTCCAAGCGCACTTTAGCAGATGCTGCCAGCTTTGACTCAGGCGGCTTTATGGAGGCGGGAGGGGGTCCACCTGTTGATGGGGATGGCGCAATGCGGTCACACAGCCCCCTCTCCCCTCCCCTCCCGCTTCTTCCTTCTTTCCCTCTCTTCCCTCCTACCGTTGTGACGTGCCCCGGCCGGAAGCGCCGGCAGTGTAACTTGAAACTTTGTAATTTCTTTTAAAATAAAAAAATTGCACTGGGCCGCATTACGAGCTGACCGTGGGCCGTGGGTTGGACAAGCCTGGCCTAAAATGTGGTGATGGCCACTACTTAAGATGGCTTCAAAAAGGGATCGGATACATTTATTATTGCCTATTAACTGTGGTAATTAAGTGGGACATTAGCTATGGTTGTTCTGCTTTGAGAAAAATTTCAGTAGGTGTCCCCTTGATGGTTCAACAACCCCTCCCCACTGAGATCTGTCCTGTTTGGAGGTAGCAGCCTCTGACTATATGCCCTCCCAATAAAAGGCACTTGGGATAGGCAACAGAGGAGCATTTCTGATGCTCTCTTGTTATTGTTGTTGTGTCCTGCCATGCCTGAAAGGTTTCTAGTAGCTTCTGGCTGGCCACTTGTTCAACCTTTCCCAGCCTGACACTTTCTAGATATTTTTGATTACAGCTTCCTAATGCCTGATCATTGGTAACACTGACTGTGGGTTAAAGGAGATCAGTTTAAAACATCTGGAGGGCATCAGCTCTGGGAACACTGCACTAAATGGACTTATTGTTTTACTGCTCTGCAACAGGGCTCTGTGTTAATACTTGCAGCTCTTTCATACAGCAGCCTGCTATGTGCCTCCTTCATCTTTTTTTTGAATTCCCAAACAGCCACCAATCCAGGGGTGGCCAAATCGTTTTGTTACTTATATGAACAACTACTAAAATACACACAATGTCAAGCAGCTGTCAGAAAGACATCCAGAAAGAAGATTACACTGAAAATTTATTTGAGACATACATAGAATTCTCCAGATATTTCATTGCCTTACAGTTAGAATGTGAAGATGGTTTTTTTAAGGAATTGTAGGAACATATGAAGCTGTCTTATACTGAGTGAGCTCACTAGTCCACTTAGTACAGTATGGCAAAAACTCCATGATTTCAGGCAGAATGTTAGCCACACATGGATATTTTGGGTGATGTCCCATCCCAGTAAGAACCAGGACTAACCCTGCTTAGCTTCCAAAAATCCAGAAAAGAATAGGTAATGTCCAGGGTAATGTGAATATTTGAATATGCATCTCCTTCAGCTACCCTGAATAAGGAAGGCAGAACACATTCTGCTCATTTCTTTACTATCTTTTAATCTCTGACTGGATATATGTGCACAAGAAGATAGCATATTAAGGTGGTATAGTCCTGGCTAAGGATGGAGAGTCTTAATTTGAGGACAACAAAATTCCCAGGCCATTCATTTCCTCTCACCTGCCATTCAGAATAAGCTGGCTAACTCGTCTTGTTATTTTCTGAAAACTTTTCCCACAATCTTTTTCTTCTGTCTTTGTCACATGAAAACAAATGTTGGTGCTTGTGTAGGAAAGAGATTTAGCAGACAGCTTATTGCATTTATTTCTAAAGAAATGCAATTTAGCAATGGAAATAAATGTTTAGTTTTGTCCCTCTGGTAAAACTGAACAAGCAATATAATGTTTTTCAAGGAATACAAAGAAGGAGAATATGTGAAGGCCAGTTAGTTATACCTCTCATCCAGGCTGCATCTCTGTATACAGTAATATCATTAACTCTGCCCTTAAAGGCTGAAGTGAATTCTGAATTCTGTGATTTCCCCTAACGCGATTGTGTGCCTGAGTGCATACCAATATCACATAGTTATATCTTGGCATGCAGGCAGATTTTTCTTTTAAGGCCCAATCTTTCTCCACTGTAAAATAAAAGGATCTAATTCACCAGCAGAGAAGATCTGGTGATATGCTGAGAGAATTTTTTTTTAAAGTGTGAATTTTGAGAACTGAGACTTTTCCTGTTTCACCCATCTCTAGCCCTGGAGTGAAAGAATGGAGTGTGTTGCTTTGGGGAGGGGCGTCAATGAAAAAAAAATAAGAAGAAAACTTTTTATGTGTTAAAGAAGATGATTCTGCAGTTTAGAATGAGTTTCCCTGAACTGACCTTAATTCATCTGCAAGAATTTTTCTTTAAAATGTAAGCAGATTCAAAAGGAGTGTCCTCAGGAGAAAATACAAAAGGGGAAGGCTTCTGAATAGTAGGTATTAGGGTGCAACATGAGTCAGGATGCTGGCAAGAGAATTAGGGTCATCTTTTGTTTCCTCTTTCTACAGTTAGTATCTTCTTCTTATGCACATCTCTCTCTATCTATTCTACACCACTTGTTCTTTAAAAGATAAACGGCAGACCCAAAAAGGCTGGACATTTGTGTTATATGTAATTTGCATGGTTATAATCAGCCCATTCATTTTTAATTCATATAATGTCAATTTTAATTTATAGGCAGCCTTTCCATGTTATGCTCAACTTAGTTACCTTCAAACTGACACTAAAAGCTATTTTCATTGCCAGAAAAACAGACAAGATTCTTTGACAGGTGTCTAGGCATAAAAGAGGAAGTGGTGGTAACTCTCTTTTATAAACATACATCCTAGCGGAACCCTCCATATTGGATAATTCAATTCATGGCAAAACCATTGGAAACCAGGAGTCTGTCTAATGTCAGTGCAGAGACCATTCCGCACAGTAGGGACACAACAGAAAAGGCTGTGCACTCAAACTTCACTGAGTCATTGTACTGTATGCAGAGCATATACACCCTCAGAAGGTAAAGACTAAGGCAATCTACAAGTGAGTAGGTGGTCTCATAGATATCCATAGTTCCATTAGTCATGAATATATTTACAGCATCATAAGTCACGGTGTTCTTCTGGGCCAGTTGGTTGGGATGGATTTTAGACACTGTTTTATAGTAGTTCCAATCCTTCTTTAAGGGTAGTCCCACAACTTGATGGGGTTCAGTTCGACACGTTTGCTGTTGGTCCACCATGTTGTTTCCTAAAGTCCCATGTTATTTACCATGTACATGAATTTTCTGGGCTTCAGGGATTTGGCATCAATTTACCCTATCTCATCTTCTATCTAAATTCAAAGAGGCTCTTCACGTCCTTAATTCAGCATGTGATGTTAGTAATGAGTTAGATTAGGATAAACAAGCTGAAGAGGGGTGCTCCTAGCCATTTAAAAACAGATGAAGGAATAGACGCATTACACTTGAAGATTCAGATTACCAAGTATGGGTGTAGTTCTGGGGACCAGTCCTAAACCTGGATGCCCAGATTTTTGCAGTGACCAGCAGTGCTTTTGTACAGCTGAGGTAACTTTGTGTCATCTGTGCCTGTTGTTTGAAATGCTGGCTCTGGCCCCAGTGACACATACTCTAGTTGCATCTCATTTAGACTATTGTCAACATGTTTTATGTAGCACTTCCTTTAAAGAGAGTTTGGAAACAGCTGCTGATTCAGAATGCTGTAGCCAGTGTGTTGTCTGGGGCTGATAACAGCATGCATGTAACCTAGGTGGCCTCACATCCTCTTTTAGGGAAGATAGTCCTACTCCTTCATATGAAGTGCTACCAGAGGTCAATACCCCCTTTTTTAAAAAAAAAATGCCCTCTATGCAAAGTGCAATGCTGACCATAAATCTGGGATTTATACATATCAGTATCCTCTTTTGCCCTTTTTTAATTGTCACATTCTTTTCTCTGATGCCGACATCCAAGTTCCCTTTTGTCCTGTCACTTGACTCATTATGCAGTAGTCTCATTAAATAACCATAGAAATAAATGTATTTTCTGTAATAATCTCCAGTTACCATGTTTCCCCCAAAATAATACAGGGTCTTATATTAATTTTTGCTCAAAAAACTCATTAGGGCTTATTTTCGGGGAATGTTTTATTCCCCCCCCCAAGAACAACAATCTGCATTTATTCAATTACCATCATTTACTGTATTTATTATTATTAATTTATTCCCATTCTCCTTCCCCTTTAAATGTACCTGGTGACACTTCCTCCGAGGGTGCCTCCGCTGTTGCCAGGAGATGCCACAGTGGTGGCTCAGATTCCTCCAGTGGCTGGGTTTGTTTTGTGGGAAACAATGGCAGCAGTAAAGTGGGGAGGCGTTGGTGTGGGAACGGGGTCTTGGAGCCGGCGCGCCCAGTTGAGGAAAGGGAGGCTGCTGTTTCAACATGTGGCCCTGACAGCAGCACCCAGCACCGAAGAGGGAGCCGAACAAGACGAGGGTTAAAAGAGTTATGGTAGGGGAAAGAGGGGAGGGGAGAAATAAAGGCAAGGTGGGGGGCTGGCTGGCTGGCTGGCGGGGGCTGGAGCTCCTAAATTGGCTCCCCCCCAACCTTGTGCTTTGTTAGCCTCGCCTGGGTGCACGCTGGAGGGGGGGGGAAGTGCACACACTGC